AATGATAACAGTTTCAAATGTATTTTACCAAATCACGCAATAAACACGTTGTTTTTTTCTTGAGTAGCGTGAACTGATCGTGAACTCCGATTTGACCATGTTATATCGAGGTGGAATTGATTTTGAAATAATTTTAGCTTTCAATCTAAAGACTGTGTCTATTGTAGAAAGTATTTACTTACAAACAAAGAGGTGCTAATTCCACAAATTTGACTAGCCGCTACGTATCGTGCGACTAGGTCTATTGTTTATAAATTATAATCCACGACTGACAGGATGCGTGTCGGTCGGTACGTAATTAAACTAACAATCAGACAATAGTCCTCGTCGGAAGCATGTCCGTGGTGGTCACTAATTTTGAGTGACGGTCGGGGCCGACCGACGTGGCGAACAAAGATTTTTCACATCTGATATTGGCATGTCAAATATGAAATCAAGCGCCGAGGTCCCAAGTGAAGCGCCGAGATTCACAGGTATAGCGCCGCGGACCTCGGCGCTAAAAAGCCCTGGGGAGAACCCTGGGGAAGATAATTTGGTTCACACTTTAGAAAGAGGTGGATTTTCATGATTTAAAATTCCTGGGATTGAGAGGTTTAAAAATATGGCTGTTTATGTACATCCCTTTTCTATATATAAATATAAAATTAAAAAATACTGGCGAGCTGTCTGCAATGACAAGTTCTGATTGATTGCTGACCTCATGTGTTTGTGTCATCACATTGTCAGTTTTAAGTTCACCCGCACAATCTGTCATAATTTCCAAAAAACTTTGATTCAACAGACATCTTTTTAGAGAAACATAAAACATTTTACAATTATAGGTACACACATTTAAATATGCGATGTTATACAGTAGATTTTGAACCAATTGAATCTAGCACCATTGTAGTTTGATAACAAGTTTCGTGAAACAAATGAATACCAAGCCACACCTGCCCGGCCACACTGCATATTGTTTACAAAATAATAACTCCATGAATTTGACAAAGAAATAGAGAAACTGATTACATTCTCCTCTGTCTTTCCATTTCTTGTCGTTTCTCTTCTTCCTCTCGCCTTTGCTTTTCTTCTTGTGCATTTCTTCTACTAACGTCTCTACCAAAAGCGTCTAACAGAAGTGGTGTTGGACTCCGCGTTCGTGACCGAACTCTCGAGTGTCGTCGTCGAGTGTATCTATCCCGATCACGGGAACGCGACCTTGTGCGCACTCTATCTCTTGATCTTGACCGTGAACGATGGCTTCTGTGCTTACTTCTATGTTTCCTTTTGGGGGAACCACTCCTACTCCTAGAGCGAGGCATAATTTTAGGAAACCGATGTAGAAATTTGAAGAATTTCAAACAAACACGGAGTCGATCTTTTCGTTTTCACAAAACACAAAATGGCGATTCTAAAGCGGTGACGTCACGGAATTTTTTTATATCCCAGAATGCTTAGTTTTTTTCCAATCACGTGGCGGCGTGAACTTTGCCCAAATGAATGGGAACAATATAGTAATTTATTATTATATCTCATATGCGATATCGTCACATTGGTTGTTCAGAACAAAGTCACGTGGCGGTCATTAAAACTCATTATTCTCTCGGAACCAATAATGAAAATTAAGTTTTTTATTTGGATGAGATTTTTCACTTCTTAGTATTAGTAGTGTAGTGTACCGTACAAGTATATTGTGATTCTTAATGTATAAGTTTGTAATATTATTTAGCATTCTGTTTAGTTTGTTAACTTTACTGTATTTTATTTTATTTTATTTTATTTTATTTTATTTTATTTTATTTTATTTTATTTTATTTTATTTTATTTTATTTTATTTTATTCACAATTATCGGACAAAACTTGGCCAGTATATTCACCATTCAGCCGTGTATATAACTACATAAAATATTTGCCCAAAATAACGAGATTTTAATTAGTAAATGGCTGATTACAGATTTCTGATTATCAGACTTAAAATCAAGTAAATTTACTCAAAATATCAAAATTGTAAAACTAAATGGTTTTACAGTACTTTTTTTTTTAAATATAATTTTATTAATTGTATAATGGCCTCCGGCCCATTACAATCATACAAATTAATTATTGACAAGAAATAAATTTACATTACAAAATATGTATGAAAATATAGATGAAGAGGGTGTCAATAGATAATATAAGCACTCTATAATAATGTGATGGGGATATTAATATATATATACATACAAGCTTATTAGGTTATTCTCATTTGATCTTTGATTAAAAAACACTTATAAATAAATAGAGCTAACGAGGTAATGATTTTGTTTTAGAGGAACTTAATAGTTGTACTAGAGTATTCAAATTTGGGGGTTGTGTCTCATTTGGGAGATACTTTTTCCTGATTGTGTCCCATGCAGTGCATTTTAGTAAAAAATGATATTCATCATCAATTTCTTGCAGGCACAAATGACAAATACGGCTCTCCCTAGGGATATTATTATGTCTGCCTCTTTCTATTTCTAAGGGATG